ATGAAGACCTTCTAACTCCCACTGCAGATTTTAAATGGTTTGAATTATTTTTACTTGTTAGTGTTTTATTAGTGAGTTAGTTTTTTGCGGAATGGGGTCGTCAACCCCAATCCCATCCCCCGTCCTTTATCCGGGCTTGGGACCGGCAGTAGCCCCAGAGGGTCTACAGGCGGAGTGCCGATACAAGCTTCAGGATTGGCTTGTATGGGCACCTGAACTAGTGATAAGGAGTGAAACAGTTGAGTGTCTTGACCGCTTCACTTATCTCGGGAGTCTCATCAGTGCTGATGGCCTGGTGACTGACGAACTCTCATCACGGATACAGAAGACTTGATTGACCTTTGCCAACCTTCGTCACTTATGGCGTAGCTGAGATATCCATCTGCTAACCAAAGGACCATTACTATGAGCAGCGGTTCTCTCCGTCCTACTTTAAGACTGCGAAACATGACCAATCAGAGTAGAAGATAATAGTAGTTTGCTTGTTTTCGATCATAGGTCTTTTCGAATCATTGCTCGTGCATCCTGGGACAACCGAGTAAGCAACGCTGTTGTTAGGAAACGAGTATTAGGTAAGGGTGGCAGATCAGTTGAAACTTCATCAGTTGAGGTTGTTAGGACATGTGTTACGAATGCTCAACCACCGACTGCCTCGACGAGTTATGTTTTGTGGTGTAGGAGTAGGTTGGGGCGGCCAGACCAAAACATGGCAGAAATCCGTGAAGTCACTGACAATTGAACTGAGCCATGTCGGTAGGTGTCTACTACTTGGTTGGGGTCCGCGAGATGATAGTAATCGATGGTTAGAGACCCTGAATGACATGGCTCAAAATCGTTTGCAATGGCGCAGGTGCATTCATTCTTTGTGTTCTCTCAAATCCTAACCTCATCACCTTTTTCTTTTTAAGTTTATTTCACTAGATTCTACTTCTTGGAAAATATCTTCGAACCCTATAATTTCCGAATACTGCTAATACTTTTACTACCTCTACTACTGTAAGATTTAAACTGACAATTGCGTTTCTGTACTAATGTGGTATGGCAACTTGAACTGATGTACTTACGTACGAAGTTCTATGTTGTTGTTGACTGACTGGATCAGTACGATCATGGACAAGCACTGTCGAGTAGTCCCATATGTTTTAGTGTTTTCTGGTTTCTAGCTAATTATCCATCAAATGTCAGTTCGTGATGAAAGTTTTGAAAATTCTAGATGTGGCTAAGTGCATTATTTCGATTAAATGAATTATCCGGGATTTTTCAGGATGTTTCTTGAAAAAAAACTTGTTTATCAAAGTAAGTACGAAGTCGGTACAGACTCATCTGAATGATCCAATATTATGAATTGGATGTCTTGAGTTGCAGTCGTTCATTGTGGCTTCTTGGTTCTACATAAACATTAATACTGAATACCATGGTAAAAATTGTAGACAAATTTTTGTCTTCGCAAATCCCCAAGTATCCATCCGTAATGAGGAGAACCTGAAAGTATCATCAATTATAACGCCTTTATAACTATCAGGTCCTTCACCATTTCCTACTATTCCTGTTTCGATTATCAACCATCATTTTTTGAATTCAAATGTTAATAACGATTTGAGCTGAAGAAATGTTATCATCGATCTCTTGAACTCATGCTTTATGTTATGTATTGAATTATCTGATGTTTAAACTTTGTCTCAAATCAAACGATAAGCTTCTCTATGTATATGCAATATGCCTTCAGTACTTATGCACAAAGATCGAGTGGTTTTTCGCTTAATTTAATTAGTGTGGAAAATTCGCACGGTTTACTCACTGAGTATAAAAAAAATTTGTTACAACCTCTCTTGGTCTTGTAGTTGTTGTTACAGCACTAAGTATAAGTGACTTTAATGCCTTTAGTGTATTGGCTTCATCAAAACGAAAACATTCAGGTACCGAGTTGTTAGCTTTTCTGAGCATTCCAGATAATGATGACTGTTTTTAAGATAAACCCCTATTTCTAGTAGGTGCTAGATCGACTTAGTGAATGATAGTCAAAATCCGTATTTCTATCAGTTCGTTGTAAAAGCTTGATAGAAAACTCCCAGTACTTCCGTAGTAACTGTCTGGGCTCCTGTCATGTTCCCGTGTTAATACATACTTGGGTCGTACTGGATCACCATATTTATCTTAACTCACTTTAAAGTTGTTAAAGTCATATTGGTGGGAGAACTAATTGAGATTTTGTTAATTATGAGATGTTTGTCTCGCAGTGAATTACGATTTAATTGTGTGTAGCGTTTATCACATTAATGGATAGTTGAAAGTATCTTGATAGGATAATAATTAGCATATACATCACAAACACAAACCCATAAAAATTGGTGGAAATAAACAGTGTTTGTATAGTATTAACTTTCATATTTACAAGTTATTAGCATCAATGAACAAAATACCAAAGGTGAAGCTTTGGTCGTATTCTCCACAATCAATATTAGCTAGTTCCGTACATCTTACCATCTCTCCTTATACCTAGTGTAATATCATGGTGAATGATTTCGGAATATAATCAAATATATTGCTTCAGGATATTCAATGCATAATAAATTTTTTTTGTGAAATTCATGATTGAGAGGTACTCTAAATGACTAAGTCCTCACTATCAATAGTATACAAAATAAATAATCAGTTTTTTGTACTTGCATTCATGTAACTATAAATCCTTAAGATACTTATTACAATCCTGTTTTTTTTTCGCACTAAAATTAGGTGCAATTATTTCATCCAAAACGACAAGTTCTTCTTGATAGTCGTGTTCATTCAATACGCGTAATCAATACTAAGTCTTATTCCCCCAACAAACTAATTTTTAATAGTACTACTAATAAACTATATCCTTTTGTCTACTCTGAAATACCTGAGGAAGTTGAGTATTCACTTACTCCTTGTGACCAAATGACTAATAATGATAGTCAATCAATTGATCCATTATCAGTAACCTCTACTTTACCTCCTGTTATATCTGATGATACAAGCATGCCGGATCCATCAGTGATGATGGAAGATACCAATAACATATTCAATGAGCCTGAACAAACATACTCACTCAAGTGTTTACAATCAGAAGCTAACCCACCATATTTCGTTTTATTCAATGATGGTTTATTTATTCGCTTGACAAAACAACTACACTTTCGTTTTTGGCCAGTTGAGTTAATTTGGATAAAAATGGATGAAAAAATAAGTGAGTAAGTTAGTTATGATTGTTATTATTATCATTATTATTAGAATAACATGTAAATAATGCCAATGTGTATAAATAATGTTAACTTGGGCAACTCGGATTTTCTTCTAAGAAATTTAAGCTTAAACAATAATCTAAGTTTAATTATCCCAAGTTAATTTCTCTCTAGTAATGCAGTATATGGTCAACATCAGAACACAAGTTAGATAATCCTTAACTAGATAGGGCAAAAAAAATGATTGAGAATTGTTGTAACTAATTCCTCGTTTTAACCCAGTAGTAGCATTATATTTCAGTAAAGCATTAACTTCATTTCTGAACACTTGTTAGTATTTATTGGACGCATAAGCAATATCCGTGTATTTTGTTCTCAACAACAAGAAAAGTCTAACTAAGCTACCGTTTCGCGTTTGACGAACGTACTGACCGAAGACCAAGGAAGATGATCGCGTAATATCGTGGACTGATATTAGTTGGCATTTTTCACTATTCATTGCTGGCTCAATCGTTTACAAGTTAATCGTTCACACACAAGACCAAAAGTTCGGTGCCTCCTGGTTTTTATGGTTGTTTAACCTAGATCGGTTCTTAAACTCAATAGCTTCCAATAATTTACAAAACCACATACTGATAAATATGATATTATTTAGTGAAATTATTATGATACATGTTTCTAAGATTATAGTGATAATAGTGAAACTGGGCAAACTAATCAAATACAAGTTAGTGTGCTTAGCTTAAAACTTCAGTTTTCGTTGGACATTTAAAATTACTAGTCTCACTAACAATATTCAAACTTACGATTTATTGATCTAAGGTGTTATGCATGTATTGGTCACTGGAAATCGCTATATGATTAGGTTTTTCAGTGTGTATCAAGCCTGAAAATATCTGGAGGATTTTCTAGTGCCGTATTGTACTGTGTTTTTTGTTATAAATAGATAAATTACAACAATTGAATGATGTCATTATTCATCGTCATTGTATTTGTTTTATTGTTATTATTCAGCTCAGAATTCGAGCTTCACACTCCAGAAGGTATTTACAAGCTTGATTCCGTAAGTATTATCTATTGTTTTGGCTTTTTCAATATCTATATTTGATACTCATTCATTTTGTGCAATCTAAGCTCCCATCATTAATATACGTATGATTGCATGAAGCTTGTCAGTATACAATATATGAACAGCCTGAATTTTCAAGGTATTTTTAGTTACTTTACAATATCAAAGATATGATTCAGTAATGTAAGCATTTTAATCCAAACTCCACTTGGTTATCGATTCGATTCTTGATTTGTCATCTTTGTTTCGGTACGTTACTATAGTTGGTGAAAACGGAGTAGTATTACCGTTCAGGATAGATTTGTAATCTTATTTTTTCTAACTCAAGTTTACACACAGCTCCACCTAAAGAAATAGTTCAGGGAACTGAGTACTATCTATACTCTCCTGTGGTACACAAACTTGAACGTAGTCAGCTGAGTTACACTACACAAATAGCATTTATTTTTGCTTTAATTTACTCCTACAGGATCAATCTTATGTTTTACAAAATTGATAGTAGTTTATGTGTCAGTAACTCATATACTTCACTTGAAACTCATAACTTAGTAAAGAGTTATATATGTGTGTGTACGTGTATACTGCTATTGACTTTGATTAGATAAATTTAGACTGATGAGCTACATCAGTCTTATGAATTAAAGGAACTTTCGATCTAGTTCATCATCTGATTACTCTGGCTGTAAATTAGTCTAAATGAATAGATGCATAGACCCATGTAGTTGGAGGTTGCTGTGATTTTGGAAGAAAAGCCTTTAATGAAATGAATTGTCTACCGACTTACCAAATATTTCATTAATTCCCAATCTTACTCTGCCAACCTGCTGTAAACTTCGAATCGTAGCTGATAGATTCTTAGACTGCCTAATGAAATTACATTGATCAACAAGCAATTTCTACTCATTAAGTTGACTTTTAAGCCTACTTTGTTTCTGCTTTACAATTATCTATAGGCTTTATGGCATGCTGTTTTACTGAAAACTATACACTCTGTATTTACCAGTCGTGTTGATATACATCGGAGTCCTAGTGATCCTAACAACCATGGTGATAGTTGTATAGAATCTAATTCTCCTCAAGATCAACGGTGCTGTAAGTTCTGTCTATATATTAGTTACATTATTGAGTAGATGTAGAATTATATCCTCTCACTGAACTGTCTCTCAGTTTCGCTCATACATTGGGTCATAGACAGAAAATTCCAATCCATGGATTTAGGTCTGTTCAAGTATCTGTTTGCAAATATTCTCAGCAACAGCTGTATAAATCAGTTGTTCTTGACATAATCAAATCAATCATCAAAAACTCTGGCATGAACACAAGAAACATGTTTGAATTTTTATAAATTACCTCACTTGTGGCGCAGCTAAGATATCTTTCTGTCAACCAAGGGGATAGTATACTACTGGACGATTCTTTTTGTATTCCGCTACAGTTATAAAATACGGTTTATAAAAGTAGAAATGTTTGCGTAGATTGTGAAGACTTTATCATAGATATCTTCCAAGCATTTTTCTTTTGTGATAGGATCATCCAGTGCCCAATAGTGAGGTTAGGTCTAACCACTGGAGACTTCCAAAAATGTTTTAAATAATTATAACAGAAATAGGAAAAAAACATTTTGTCACAAACAAATGGGGCATTAGAAAAATAAGATTGATATGCCTTTAGTTTGTTTTAAAACAATAAGATTACCTTGATCTTAATTCACGTATGCATAGCTATGGGATTTGAATCAACAATCCCGGTCTCTATGTGCTAATGTGGAATGACAACTTGAACTGATGATGTACGTACGTACGTACGAAGTTCTACGTTGTCGCTGACTGACTGACACATATACACTGAACAGAGTAGTATATTTCTAAATACTACGTTTATCTTAGTGTTCTCCATTTAATATAAGCTTATGTCTATTGTAAAAATTAGCTTTAGTTTTTGCTGACTGTCAACCATTCACATTTAAAAAAATCACTTGCACTTAATTTACAGGTATATACCATGTGTTTAGATCTGGTCCACTCGAAGGTTTTGCTTATTATGGTTCATGGTTAAACGGGAAATTGCACGGTAGTGGTAAATTATGTTGGCCTGCGAAATCATTGAACTCCTTACATTCACATCAATCAACAAACTCCATAGAAAATTATGGTTCAGAAATAACATTCGATCCTCAGAATCCAATTGATAATAATAGTATTACTAATAATAATGATAATGAAGGTAGCTTATCAAATGAACTCATACCTGATTCAGTTCGTTTATTTCTTACACTTACTGGTCCTTTGGATATTTGTATGAGAGATATTGAAAATGAAATCGTTTCAATTTTTTGTATTGGAGAATTCCAATCAAATCAACTTAATGGGTAGGTGATAGATAATATCTAACTTGTTGTTGAAATGTTGAACAAAAAGTTAATGAAAACGAAATGCATTAGTCAATTGTTCCATATTATTTGAAACTTCATTCGTTTCATGAAAAAAGATAAAGCTGATTGCTTTGATTCGCCATGTGAACTTATTTGAAATGGTATTGATTGTTTAAATAAAGTAATGTATTTCGAAACTTCATCTCAGAGAATATTCAGCAGTATGTCAGTAATTCGCTTAATCATGCAATTATATTTGTCCTGTTGCTTGACCTCCCTACAAACTAGTATTTTAACGATTAACCCTCTTCATCTGCTTCGATTTGTGAAACTTCATGGTTTCCCTGCGCCTAACACAAAGTGTCTTAAAACCGAGTACATTAGTTCGTACTTGATAAATGTGTTACATAAACCGATTCTCTAGTTATTCACTAATGTAATAGTTATATATTTCTACTGTTGTTCTGCATATTGGGTGACAGGTTAATGAGCAATTCTTCATTCTACTCCTATGAAATCTTATATATGGTCCTTTTAAATTCTGATATTTCATAGTTATCATTCATGAAAATATACTGCTTTAGATGTCATCCGTGAATATAGTCATCTGTTTTAGTTTTTGTTAAATCGAGATCACATTTCTCAATTTTTTGCTGTGTTTAACTATCAATGTCACATAATTTAGAGTTATGTCTCTTGATTATTTTCCTATTTTCTTTTGTAGTTCTCATATCGCTTGATTACGGTTTCGTTGTTATTCTTTTTTTTTCAACAGTCTAGGTGAATTGTGCATACAGACAGCCCAAGGTTCTATTAATATTCGTTCTGAGTGGAAAAACAGTCGGCCACATGGTATAGGTTCTTTAAGGTATGATTTTCCTCTAGATATTTTGATAAGATTTTCCATGTGTTATAAATTAACATATATATATATATATATATATATATATATATATATATATATATATTGCTTGACTGATTGATTTAGTTTAATTGTAGGTATATAAATGGTGATATTTACACAGGTTGGTTCGTGAATGGTGTTCGAGAAGGTCATGGTTCTCAAGAGTTATTTGCAGTGAGCAGTACACAAAACAGTATGAAGTATGCTAAACGAAATCGCAGACCAAATGATTGGAATATAGTCTATTTAGGACATTGGCAAGATGATAAACAAGATGGATTCGGTATATCAAAGGATATAACAAATGGTATGCTTCTTAATATATGTGTTAACATAAGTAGTCTTTTTTAACTAGATTTATTTAGGAGAAGTCCAATTGAACTAATCCGTCTAAAGTCCCTATGATATTCATAGTCTGCATGACTGACTGATCATCTCTAACTTCTGAGATAACTAATAAAGGCTCATATAAATCACCAAACCAGGTGTGTGGGGGTGCACCTTGTACTGGAAATGGAAATTTCCTGCCAAAAAAGTTTACTGTTGACACGTTTTCAGATATCTTGGGCTACTGTATCAGTAAATTAACTATTTCTTTTGATGCTATAGTTGAAACCATTTCGACTTTATATTACTCCCTTGACTTAAGATATTTCTTACATACATCATTGTATATCGCATTATTTTAAACATTCATCCGCTGAATCAGTAGTTTAAATAAAAGTTTTCATTCCGTCAGATTTTCGGCATCTGACTGCTATCATGCATGATGCCGTTGAGCAATTAGTATTTGAATCGGTTCATGGTTTTTATCGACTATCTAACTGACTTTATGATTATAAATGAGGTCAATTTTTTGAAGTAATCACTAGCCCCCATCAGTTTTTATTCATAAGCAAATCATCAATCATTCATTTAGTTTAGAAATTGGAACAGAGCAACAGCAACATCTGAGAAGTAATACAACTTTATTTCTCATGCCTAAGGATTATATAATCAGTTTCTGTATATTCTCAGATCATTGTAATGTTACCCTTGACCGATCACATGGTACACTTGTACTCAATAATTGAACTGTTCAACCAAAGACAGATATAGATCAGGACAAGAGTTTATTATGGTACGAAAATCAGAAATATGCATCGTCCTATAGATAAATCTGTCCGAACCCACTGATCAATCATAAGTCATTCGGAAAAGAATTAATAAAAGAAAACTCCTAGTGTAAAAATGTGGTTGGATTCTCACTTTACTCGATTTCATATTGATAACATTTTTTGTTATTTTGGTAATAATCATACGTAATGCATATCTCAACCATCTTGGCTGATGAAGATTCACTACTTCATCAAACGATATGTCATCCTTACCTAGAATCCTAATCTTAACCAAAACATTGCTTACTCATTGGTCCCAGAATACATGATCAAAGCTTCGCAGACACCTATCACTGAATACTAGTAACCTACGAATATTCTCCATTCTCAATGGCCATGTTTCACATCTATAAAGTAAAACAAGGCGAACTGTTGCGCAATAAACTCACCCTTTGGTTGGCAGTTGGATATCTCACCTACGCCATAAGTGGCGCAAGTAGGCAAAAGAAGATCGAGTCTTCTGTATCCGTGTCGAGAATTCGCCAGAAATCAGGCCATCAGGACTGATGAGACTATCAAGATAACTGTGGCAGTCAACAAGCTCAACCAGTTCAATCCTTATCACTAGTTCAGATGCCGACGCAAGTTACATTACATTACGCAAGCAACATTTTATATTCGGAGGGAGAGAACTGCATTCCAAACATACTAGCATTGTTGCTTAAGATGGTCAAAAGACTGTATTTCGTCAGTCTTCAATAAACAGCCATACCATCCGTGAATAATAATTCAACTAGTGGATCTCCTGGTAGGTCTATTCATGAGAAGTTAAAGGATGAAACCTATAACTTTAAAAGCATGTCTGTTTCAAAGTTAAATAAGAATGGATAAAGCGAACAACGCTGACGAATGCCAGTAGAAGTAGTCGGTTCCAATGACAGTTCGCTATAACCTCTAACTCGATCACTAGTGTTCGATTAGGGGACCTATACAAGGTTAATTTGCTTCTTTGGTACACCTCTCAGCGACACACTGCAACAGAACTCTGTCTTAAGGTTCAGGAATGCAACTATTGTCGGACGCCTGAGTGTGTCTCTGTTCTAAGACCTGATGAAATGTGATTATTTGGTCTATACAAACACGGTCAGGTCGGAAACCAGCCTAGCTTCCTTGTGTTCACCCCTCACGAACGCCACTTAGGCGTCTAAGTATTGTTGAAACTAATATTTTAGACACCATATTAGTGAGACTGATTCCTCTGTGATGATCACACGAGGACGTTTGTGCTGTCTTATAGACTGGGACAATCAGTGATTAAAACCAGTCAAATGGGATTGCGCCCAGTTATCAGATTCTACCTTAGGTCTCAGTCAATCTAACTGTTAAAACTGGACCACCATCTTTGAAAATTTTAGGGGTTAACCCATCAGAATCCGCTGCTATCCGTCGTCTCAGACTGTTTGTAGCCTTTTCAACCTCATTAAGAGTTGGCAGACTCACATCAGCTTGCCGTTCAGGTTGACTGCAGATCGTGGGTAACCGATTTGTGTCTGAAGGCCGGTTGAACTGTTTCCTAGTGTTTCGCCCATCGACCCAGTCTCCTGAATTGAGAATAAATAATATGTTCATCTTTTTCTGAGAGTCTCGCTAATAGTTGAATCTCTAACACCGGTTTCCTTGATAATTTTGAATAGTTTTCTACTGTTACGTATCATCGCTGCCTTTTCCATCTCTTTTGCTACCGCTACCCACCGCTGTTCGCTATCATTGCGTAATCTTCTAATCAGCCTGTTTTTGCTTATTTTGTTTCAACTTAATTTACCAATAGAAATCACTTCTGTTTCCATAGCTTTTTGGATATCATTCGAAGCTGCCTAGGAGTAAATATCTCTTACATAGTTGACTAATTGATTTCCTAGTTATTCCTGAAATGTATCCTTGTCCCTATTTTTGAGCAAATTGAAGTCTCAGAGGGCTTCTGACTGTACCTTTTTGTCTTCCAAAAAGACGCAAGCTGATACGTGCTCTTACTAGAGCACATACTACCCCACTAGGTATCGAACTCAGAGTATATCCTCGTACCAAGCACCTAAACTTCAAACCATTGATTAACATCACCGCAAGGCTTGAAGTTCCTGTTTCCGATTCCTGAAGTCGTAAATGCTCAATGCCTGGGAGTCTCATACTAAAACAGAAAACCTGTCCTGATCTTCGTAGTTGTAATTGTTTATTGGAATGTGGTTTGTGATGTTGAATGTTTTTTCTTTACAGATTTTACACCTTTGAGTTTTGTAGTTTTATTCACTTGTTTTATTCCGTTTATTTTCAAACACAGGTAATGTGTACATTGGTCAATGGCTTAAAAATTCTACACATGGTCGTGGAATAATGCATCAGTCCTCTGGGCTATGTGTGGCTGGAGAATTTGAAGCCAATGGTATAAATGTGTGTGTATATTTTGAAATGTTGTATACTTGTTCATTAATCTTTAATGTCTTACGTAGCAAAAAATTAAAATTTGTTAAATTTGTGTTTTGTGTGAATGTTTATTCGATAATTTATTTACTGAGTATTTCATATCGTGTTTGCATACACTGTTGTTCATTATTATCAATAAAATGGTTATGTTGGATGAGATCAATGAGGGAATTTTATGTCATTCGTTGTATTCACTTACTACAAGTAATTATCTTGAAATTATTTCCTATAACAATGCATACTTTCTCTTACTTCTCATCTTATTTCTTTTTCGACTAATGGTCGATTTTTATCACTGATTTCTAACTCAGCTGTTTAAAGGCTATTCGTTCATGTGCGAAACTGTATGTCGTGATTCCGATCTCTTTTGGGTTTATATGTGTGTACTGCTGAGTAGTCCTATATTAGAATGAAACATCTGTCTCTCTTACTTTCTGGATGTCAAAGTAAATACTTTTGTATCAAACTGTTGCTAATGTGGTATATTGATGAGATCATTTCATGTCAGATTAATGTACATAGATGTTTTTGTTTATTTTTCGTGTGACTTTTTAGAGGCAAGGTTTATGTATTACACCCGAAGGAAATATTTACATTGGAATGCTTTCTAAAAATCAACCAAAGGGGAAAGTATGTTTTAAGTACTTCGCAAATTAAAATGTTCTTGTTTTGATTGTGCATATACGATATTTATCAAGTTAACTTTATGTATTCACACTCTGTTGACGGTAAATTTTTATACTTTATTGTGTAACTCTATAAAACTTATGAATTTCAAACCGGTCATGTATTACTGTTTCGCTTTTACGCTACAGCTCGATCTTTGTAAAGCACTTGCCTACCATTGTCATTGAAAGACAGCTGAACAATATGGTGAATTGATCGGAATTTAACACTTTGACCACTGAGTGCCCCCTCAGTGGCCTAAATATCAAGAGCCTGCTGTGAGATATGAAGGTCCTATGCTTGATCACCGATGGAATCGTGGATATCCACTGCTGAAGATTATCATACTTGGATAAAACATCGTAATATTTCCTGTTTTCCAGTAGTTATCTGACTAAGATCAGCTGATGATGTAAACTTTAATACTCTACAACCTCCACAAATCCTCTATACTAATTAGTTTTATTGACTATTTGTTGAGCATAGTATTTGACAAAGTGGAAACTTGATCTCATTACTTTCTTACATATAGTCGCTAGATCAAGTGATCTAAATTCGCTTTAAAAAATCCCAGTGTTTGGTTGAGAAACCATAAACACTCTTTCGGTCACTGTGAGTTCAACAGTGGTTGTAGTCTGCCGATTTGCATACTCTTGAAAGAGTGATTTAATTCACTGTAAATCATAAGTCGATACGCAATCTAAATCAGTTGACTTTATTGCAATCTATTTTATTTCAATGAGATTTGACGTTCTATAATTTTTTTTTAAAATTACTAAAAATCACATTGTAACTGAAAAACTGTGGAATTCAGTTTTCAACAGAAGAGCACTTCATTCATTATCCGTTATTTTACTGTAATATAAACTTTATGACGTATATGCAAAATCAATGAGTAAGTTAAACGATAAATAATTACGCGTCTCCTTATACATCTACATAAAATAATGACAATATTTGTAAAGATTGGAAAAGCCTGCCTATTCAGTAGATGATTTTTGAAACAGACTAAATTTCATAGTGGTATTTGTTTATTTAAGTTAATTAACTATAATCATGAATGATAAGGTGGCAGCTAGGTGTTCACAGTATAACCTGAAGGCACTGTGTTCGACTCCTGGCAAGGAAATAAGTATGGACCATTGAGGAGTGTCATACTAAAAAAAACAGGACAACTGTGCACTACTCTCAAGTTTTCAGTGATATTTCAAATAAGATCAATCTCTGATGAATATAACTTAAAAATATCGATGTGTACAATGAATAGAGGTTAAATTAATTTCATTATTTCCAAATATTTTAAATTAACAAACAGATTTATTATTGTTAATAAAGGATTAGATGTTTTAAGCTACCGTCTATCTCTAGATAATCAATTCAAATTGTACGATGTAATACTGCATAAATTTTTAATATCTAACATATGTCGCAAGAATCGAATAATTCTGTTTTGCATAAATAATTTAAAAATGTACTAAGGCACTTTCATTTAAGAGTTTTAATAAAATTTATTCTAAATAAACATCAGTCAACATTATAAAACTCAGTTTCAGGTATTCGTGCTGGCTTACTGATCAAACTGTTTTTCACTCGTAAAGTCATTATTCATCATCGGACCGGTTGGTTATGATATTATATACTGAAAATATAATGTATACATTTATTCAGTGTAAATTAAGCACTTATACACAAATCATACCTTACATAGTGATCATTACAAAATAAAGTTTAATCTTACTTGTTGAAAGTATTGGTTGTTAGAGGATTTTTTGAGGATAATCGATGCTAACTAACATTTACTGAAAAACACTTGTAATTGCTAACTTTTAAAAAAATAATTAGATATACCGTGATGTTTATTTAACGAAAAAATGAAATGAACAGATGCCTTATTATTCAATCATCCGAATATTTTTTTAGAATAGTCAACATTACATACTGGCCATGGTTAAACAACCATTGGAAACCAAGAAGCACCGGATAGCTCTTTCTTCCTAGTGTGGGACTTTTGCTTAGTACTTATCTATGAACCTATCACTGAGAGTTGAACTGAAGACCTTCATATCTCACGATGAGCACTTAAACTTCTTACCGTTGAGCTGACATCCAAAAGTGCGTATATCTAACTACAGTCAACGTTTGATATTATGCAAGTATCTTTGAATGTCATTGCCTCAAACTCGATGCGATTGAAGTCAGTTAGTCAAAGTTTTTTTTTACTGTTGAATGTTTTCCCATTCATTCTTTCGATACATCACACGCCTCTAACTGTATGATACAAATGATATTTTTACACATTTGAATTCATCAATCAATCATTGTTAGACCACCTTAGAAACCCGGAAGCACTGGACGGCCGTTTCGTCCTGGTATGGGACTCATCAGCAGTGCGCATCCACGACTCTTGCACCTCGTATGATTCGAACCCGGGACCTTCGGTATTGTGCGCGAACGCCTAACCATCGGACCACTGAGCCGGCATCCAACGGTGCTGACGAGTCCCATACCAGGACGAAACGGCTGTCCAGTGCTTCCAGGTTTCTAATGGTGGTCTAACAATGATTGATTGATGATTTCAAATGTGTAAAAACACAAATCTCCAAAACTCAAACTGAAAATAATATTTTTCTACTATCCTGATATTTCTTCTCCTAGGGTATATTAAACATTTTGTCGAGTAATCTTCTACTGGTCGGTAAATTCAGTGGTAATGTTGCTATTCATAAAAACAACTACAACAACTCTTTATTTTACAATGATAATCATAATAATAATAATAGGAAGAAGAAGAATAAAAGTTTACACTTTAATGGTGATATAATTTATACTGATCAATTCTTTAAAAACAACAGTAGGATATCGTCAGGCAGTTATTATTATTCTCATCATCATCATCAACATTATTGTGTACCGATTTTAGTACAGGATCGAATAAATGGAAATTGGAAAACATGTGATCGAATTGAATCGGTATTAAATGAAATGGTATTATTAAATGAAGATTACAAATCATCAATTAATCTAACAAATTCAAGTCCAATACTACCCGACATTAACACTATATCATCATGTCAAGATTATGTTGAACTAGCTATGTAAGTGAAGATTCAGTTTGTTTATTATTATTTTTTCTTCTACTGAATTTATTATTTGTAAAGAAAGGAAGGAAGGGTTAGAAAAGGTGGAGCCTAAAAATGTCACACCTCACCCTATCTCACGGATTTCCGTCTCTGTCAGTAAGGGCCCCTTAAAAGGGAATTTTGAAAAGAGCCGAGCTAATACTCATAAAACCTTCCGCAAAAGGCCGTGCGTGACCGGCCTCAAGCAGTTGTCCCTTGGACTCTGCGGTCGTGCTCCCAGGTCTCTCATACCAACACTAATCGCCCTTCATTTTCAGGTTCCTAAAGAAACACCCTTCCACGGTGTTGGCAGCCGGGAAGTGACAACCGCCCTCATACCCGTAACAGCACACAACTGTTCTATTCGATCATTAGCTAAGCGGGAATGTGGCTACATTATATTTAATTTCAACAATTAAATAAACCAATCATACTTTTTTGAGTGAGGAGTTATATCTGCTAACCAAAGCATCATTTAATTATGACTTTTGTGAAACAAGAGAACGAAAACTGTTTTCGATTTTATTAAACGATTAAAATGTTTTCTTTTTAGCCTTAAGTTATCATGGCACACATAAATACAATAGAATAAAATTAATAAAGTGAATAACAAAAGAACTGAGATAATAATGAAAAAGACTGAACACTAGGAATATAGTTCAAAGTGACGAGAGAAAACAAATCAATGGATGAATATTGAAGGTGAAGTTCTAAAGAAAGAAATCAGGCGTAGATAGATGTGCGCCATTTTAACGGATTCTCAACCACATCATTCCACATTTCTAACCATCGTTCACCGTTATTAAGTGGACACTATCCAAATTCTCGGAACTTATTAACACAGCATTTTAAATCAATAAAACATGGTTTTATGCCTGTTTACTTTGATCTATTTTAGAAAAATATGCTCTTCATAAGGGTACGACTTTTGTAGCTACTTAATAAATTGTTTTGTTTGGTTAGATATTTCCCCAGAGTATATTCCCCATATATTTGGTTGTTTTTATTTTCGTTTTTCAGATTAATTCTTTCACATACTGTGCCATTTCATTTACGTTGGGATAGTTTATTCCAAAATTGTATCATTGATGCTACAGTTTTATTACAGTCTATGTCATCTTCAAGTTTGACAGACTGTATCGAGAGTTTATCATCAGTAAGTTGATAAATGTACATGAATTTTGTTGTCAATTATTCAAATTATTATGTTGTATTCATTATAGGTTCATCTCTATCTTGGGATATCATCAAGAACTAGCGATCAGTAGGGAATTGTTTTGTCATAGTATGGAACTTCTCCGTAGTGCAGAAACCTACAAATTAAATTAATTTCCACAAAGCCCTTCCAAGTAAACTATAATGATCAGCTCACTATTAGTTTTCCCCAAGATGTTTCTGAAATTCTGATGATAAGTCATGGTTCACTCTTATCGGGGAATAAACATTTGTCAAAAATACTATTCAGTGATTGTTGTACCGTATCGTAAATTGATTGAAGTCAAAGTTATACTATCAGATTTTGGCTCGATGGGTTTAGTGATCAGGTGTTCGTTGTGCGACTCACAGGTCTTGAATTCGATCAACGGTGGTGTTATGGGTGTCTGATACTAGTGAGTTTGATATTAGGCTGAAATACCTGTCCAGTGCTCTCTGGTTTTCACTGATATCCTAACTACGATCAGTCTACGATAAACAGAACTCACAAATTAAACCAATTTATACAAATCCCTTTAAAGTTATACGAACTAATAAATTAATTGATTGAAACTTAATGGTAGAAAATATTTGGTTTTATTACCTTTTCACACCAAATTTTCCCAGCATTAGTGATACACTTAAATTCCCTTTCCCCTATTAGTTCTTCAAACTCAATTATCCCTCCTAGTGACCTATCTCATTTAAACTATTTAGTTCATATTCGGCTTCAATTTACATGGATATTTCAAGCAGTTAAAGTGGAGATGGGGTGAATAAATTTTTAAATTAATGCGAATTATTTCGATAGGAACGAGATGGTTATATCCCAAATCTTGTGAAAAAGAAAGTTTTTGTAACCACAGTCTTCATATTCTTCAAAAAGATTATTTACTATCCCTATTCGAAGATACTGTAAAGATTGTACATTCATTAGTATTGTTTACACCATCATCTTTTTTAAAAAAAATACTAGAAGCTATTTCTTTTAAATTGATGTTTATCTTTGAGTATCGTTGAGTTTTCATTATTATATCATTCCTTCAATATTCAGAAAAACTGGTACAGTAGGATTAACACTGGATCTCTGTTATTTCCAGTATAGTTCGTATCAGTTTGGAATCAGAGACGTTTATAAACATATATCGTTGCAAAAATTACGTTTTCTCGTCGGAAATGTTTTCGTAGCTTAACTAATAAATTATTCTTGTTGCTAATAAAAACAAACTGACCACCTGTCAGACACAGTATATTGAAGTGGAAAACGTGTGTAGACTTCAGGTTTTCGATCATATCTGTTCTCAAACGATGTTGAAGCTAGGCATAGGGTACCAGCCATAGATCAGAAGTTGGTTGATAAGATTGTGAATTTTTATCGACTGACTTGGTTGAGAAATGTATTCTATTTACATTAACCATCTCTTACCTTGACGGACAATGTTACTTAGCATAGAAGTGTTATTTGCCAGAAAACAAGAAACATCCAATCCATAAAATCATTGTCTATTGATCTGAGTCATATTAGTGGTTACCAGCTGATTGACAGTCGAAATTCCAATGGTTATTAAACCGAACTCAGCTTTTTTTTTTTTAAAGCAAAACACATCTTATGTTATTTATTCACAATGAAAACTGTTGCACATTTTACATATTTGTATAGGTAACATTATCTACTGAAAATCCTCCTCATCTTGTTCATAATGATGACATCAAAAGTGTTCATATTGATAATTTATCAGACCATATTGAATTATTAGATGAATTAGCTTATTGGTGCCTTCCATCATCCTGTTTCGATGATGGTGTCGGTGGAATGGCCTTGAATTCAATCGATGAATTATTATGTAATTCACTAAGTCAATTACCTTTACACAAATCAATGACATCTACACTTGAAGATTCTTCTACCATTGCATTATCATCACCTTTATGGTTGAAATATTTACGTATAATCAGCTCACTATTAGCTGAATGCTTTCAACACATCGTTTGCACTAATACTAATAATGATAACAATAATAATAATGAAAATCTATTATTTTTCAATAAATCACCACAACTAATCAATGTACAACTGAATAATTCTTGTCCCCAAATCAATTATGCAACACATTTGAATTTGGTCATTGTTTTAACTGAATATGCTCATCTTGTCATTAGATTAGCGTTTACATTCACGTTAGCTATACAACACAGGTTGAGATGTGAGTCCATTGTTCAATCGACGACACATTCAAATCATATTGTTAATTATTTATTTCAGGTTAGTTCTTTTTTTTATTTATTATTTTAGAAAAATCATTTCAAAGTTTGATAATTGTGATTTTGTTTGTTGCGATTGTTGTTGTCGTTCTGTCTGCCAAAAAAAAACACAACTTAAATTGACCCTTAAGCATAGAATTTCATGTGTCTCACTCATTCAAACAACTTGATCATGATAAATAAGTACTTGAATGAATTATTCCTAAATGTACAAAAATCTAACTCAATCTGTGGTGCGCGCTACTTATAAGTAGTATATGACGCGAGTGTGAACGTAATGTCTGGCATCAGAAGATGGGGGAAGATCAAGAAAGGAAGAGTTAGAACACAATGGAATTTGTATGAAACGCATGTATAGTGAAATGACAGACAATGGATTGAAGATTTGCAAACTAACGGTTACGATATGGTTTTCCTATTTTACTGAGTAACTCTGTAATTTCCGTTAAATACAATTCGGTTGCCCTCACCTGTGTTCTCCTTCACTACAAATCTATTAAACGAAACTATGATTATTTCAACTGCTTTATTTACTATTCAATGTGTTAATTTTTTTTTATCTCATCCATGATATTTCATCCTATCCCTGGTAATTGATGTTCTCGCTAGCATAGTATATGAAATTATTAAATGAATTGAATTATGGATTATTATTATTTTTTTTTAATTTGATAGATTTAAAACAAACTATTTTAATTTGTTTACAATGCATCCATCACTTTGTATGTACATTCATTGAAAATTTTTAATCACATTTAATCAATGTTCATATCATAAGTTGTTTTTTTTTTTTAACATTGTCAACAATTTCCATAGATTTGTGAGCCAAATATCAATGGTGATTTATTTACTACCATTAATGAAACATTTAATAATTTGAAAAAAATCGATGGACAAATGACACCTGCAATCGTCGGTGTTGATCATCATCCTCCTACTGAAAATGAACAAAACAGCATATATGACAACAATAAACCTGATTCAATTAGCAGTAAACAGTTATTTCTGTGCAATTTACCAGAAGTTCAATTAAGTGGGTAGGTGTATTGTGTGTGTGTGTGTGTACTTCTAATCAGTGTTGTATCCCATTGTTATCTATCAATCAATCATCTACTTTGCATTCTTGTATTATTATTATTACGATTATTGATTAAGGATTGATTTTCTTTATTCTATCTATCGATATTTATCTAATATGGTGGATAATTTCTACTTTCATTTAAATTTCACGATATCCATACAAGAAGAGTATAATATTATCATGTGTTGATCAACTAACTATAGCATGTAACAACCAATCATTCATCAGATGTTGTTGTATGATATACTCTATTTAATTCAGTTTGAATATACTCACAGTTGTTATCTTTCATAAGATAAGCAACAGCATGGTATGTTTAATTCTGTTCCTAATTTATTGAATAGAATAAGTTTAGTAATGAATTTGATGAAAATGAATATTAATTCGTTATAGAACCTTGTTAAAATAACTGTTTACAATTTAAATTGCATAGAACCTACTGAATCTTATGATTCACATCAACACACACACACACACACACCAAAAGAAAACTACTAATTGAACGAAGATTTCAGATTTCTTTTACTTCTCAATTAAATTGTCTTGTTATAGCTTTACATTAAAATCAAATTTTTATACTCAAGTATCAAATAATTGTTAGAATCATTTTGACAATGTATATCTGATTATTTTCGCGTATTCAAAACTAAATCTGAATAGATAAATACAATCAGTTAGTTATGTTAAGAATAAAACATTCAATTAAGTCAGTTTAACCTTAAACCATTAACTATCAAATAAAAATAATAATTAGTAATCAATAAAATGTATCCAATGAATTGGTTGAGATAGAAACTATAATTGAATACAATGAACGAAAAAATATTTGAAAAGAGTAAGAGTAATTCAGTAGAATGATAGAGTAAGATAAAAAGATCACTCCGACTTTCTTATTAGCTTCTATTGTAAGAGAGGAATTTGGACGAAATCTTATGGATATAACTTTGAACGTTGAATCTATATCAGTCGATTTAGTGAATGATTTGTGTCAATTAAATATCCCAGAATCAAACTTCTTATTGTTTTACTTTGTTCTTCTTATCAACCATAAAGAGTGACATTCAGAAAACGTAGTAATCAGACTACAGGATTGAATAGTTCGGATAACCAAAATGATGATGCACTTTTCTCTGAAGAACTGTAAATCTAATTGTAGTAAAATCTTAAATAGTAACAATGTGGCGTTTAATTTCTGGCTATCATATTGTTATCAAGATTTGAATTGTTCGAGCTAAAGTTAAAATGCGTCCACGTTTTTTCAGGTAAATTTCAAATTTCGTGGCAACCATGTCTACATTCAACGGCTGAATTGAATTCTGACCGTACACGCTTTTGAACTTTAATGTTTTTGTGACAACGCGGTCCTTGCATACAATAACATTTATAGGATATTATCATCTCAATTTAATTGACACAGCTTCCGTCTCGCATTTGGGAAAATTAATCTTGAAACCGTTTATCAGTGAATATGAGGATGAGGATACAGTGATTATTATTTGTCGAAGTATTTTCATTTTATACATTTAATGTAGTTGAGAAATAATTATTTTTACAAATCGACACCAGTTTGATGGCTAAAACTAGAATAAAATATTGAATATCGACAGTTTTTCAACGTTCATTCGTCCTTCGACTGACTTGAGGTTGTGACAGGAACTATCTCTAAACATTGTACATTAAATCTCTCTACAGGATATGTACATAAATCCTTGCTAACATGTAAAAGTTTTAATAATATCCTGTTCTTTTTTTTCTTTGTCAATCCTTTCTACTAGATATTTTAACTCTGGAATAATTTAATCGAGTGACTGTGTTGTTCACTGTTCTTTTTTGTATATAATTGTCTATATGTTGATGAATTTAGTTCATTCATCCCTTCATTCATTCATTTATTTATCTTTGTAGATCTATTAGTCTATTTGAATTGGCCTGTGATTGTCTCTTACCTAATATCTATTCCACATTATTTGAATTTTTCAAAGCACAGTATTCTCTATTAGATCAATCCTATTGGACATATCGTCAAGCATTACATGATAAATCTGATTCAATTCTTTATTCTTACCTTGAATTAGATAAGTAAGTCTTCTAAGTAACTTTTTTTTCCATTGATTTATCAACAAGCCGATTTGAGTTTTCTGAAGATTCACCTACCTTGTAGGTTATATTCGACACAGATTAATCACATATGCCGAACACAAATCAGCTGTCACCATTAACACTGAGCCATCGTCACAGCATATCACAAACTAATTATATTCAAAACTGTTAAGTATTCACAATCAGTCCTAAAGGTCTTTAGTCCCATACCCTGGTGAGGTCGTGATTGTGCATTCCTATACGAGAATGAAATAACTGTACGGTACTCTTCGCTTTTCAGTCGTACATCAACCGAAATTAATGTCTCATGAATACAACCCAAGATTTTTAAATCTTGTGTATGTATCTAAATGCTTACTGATTAGCAGTAATAATCATTTATTCTATTCATTTTTATATCTTCCCTTCACTTATCAGCTCTCAGTTATAATTTATCACTGTTCTGTGCATCGATGGATGTATATTTACAAACTGTACAAATCATTGTTACACTGACTACTACAAACAGACAGATAATAATTTATTCTTACGAATAAAATATATCAATAAATTCGAACGATGCCTGGTCTTCCATTGTATATGCATAGAGTGAATTACTTTAGTATAATTCATTTGTCAAGTACTGTTTGATACACTACTCGACTTTAATTCATACTTTGTGTAATATCGTTTAATGATTTTCTCATCTAAGTTTTGAAAGTAAAGTAGATAAAAATTAATTCAAAG